GACGTTCATCAACCGGGGTGAATGCCAGTACTCGGCGACAGAGTCTCCCTCTCACCACCCACGAATACGTTCATAAATTTACGTTTCTTTATTAGCACGCTGTAGTAAATATCACAATGGCCTACTCGTCTCCGTCCTTGTCTTATTTATCGCACTTCTTGGAAAGGAGTGATGTTTATATATTTATATAGCGAGCCTCTGGCTTCAATACCGACGCCCGCTCGCAGCCACACTTCAGGTGAACGGGTGCTGCAATAAGACTCCAGCGGACCTTTTCTTTCTTTCCTTTCTTTTTACGATATTCCAAGACTCCAAAGGAGTTGGTTACCGCATTGTTCACAAAGATTGCAGACAAGCTTTCGGTTATGCAGTTACCATCGCGGGGCTATTGATATCTGCAGAAATACGATTCCGAACAATTTTCTTACGATTTCACTCTGTCATTGGTCTTTTATATAAACAATTTGAGAATTAGATTCGGCGCTTACGTACATAGTATACTGTTCCACGGGGAGTGATAATTATATTATATATTCGGTGTTGTAAGAAGTTTGTTCGGTCTTTATCTAAGAGATGGCGCTATTGCCCATAGTACTAGTGTTACGTGTCGCATCATGTCATACTATACGGCGCTGAAAACATGTTTATTCGCACTAAAAGTTTGTCTTTGACAGTTTTTCGATTGATTGACTCAATACGATGTGAACGCTCGTCAAAGATGGACACCAGCAAAGAGAAAATTCGCTAAATTTTAAAGTTTTTCTTCGATCCATGCGAAAAAGCAGCCAAAGCGGCTGAAAAAGCTAATTTAGTTTATGGGCCCTATACTGTAAACGAATGTGTAGTACAAAAGTACTAGGTTCCGCTTCGGTAATATCGATGTCAAAGATGCACCACGCGTCGGGAGGCCTGTCGTCGAAAATTGCGATAAAATCATAGAAATAGTGGAAATTGATCGTCACGTGAGCACTTATTTAACTGCTGAAGAGCTAAAGATAAGTCAGAAACCCGTTTGGAACCATTTGCATGACCTTGGATTCAAAAAAAAGCTCGATGTTTGGGTGTCACTCGAACGAACGCAAAAAAAACTTGATGAGCCCAATTTCCATCTGCGAATTGCTGCTAAATCGCAACAAAATCGACCCGTTTCTGAAGCGGATTGTGACTGGCGATGAAAAATTGATCACTTATGCCAACATCGAGTGCAAAACGTCGTGGTTAAAACTCGGGGAAGCACCCCAGATTGATGACTAAGAAGCTTTTCCTGTGTGTTTGGTGGGATTGGCAAGGAATCATCTACTACGAGCTGATCCCCTATGGCCAAACGCGCAATTCGGCCCTCTACTGCCAACAAGTGGACCGCTTGAAGGCAGCACTCCTCCAGAATAGGCCATCTTTGATCAGCAGAGGCCGAATTGTGTTCCATCATGACAATGCGAGACCACACACGTCTTTGGTGACGAGCCAGAAGCTCCAGGAGCTCGAATGGGAGGTTCTAAAGCACCGACCTTATAGTCCCGACCTTACACCAAGTGATAACCATCCTTTCCTGTCCATGTGAAGGATCTAGTTACGAGCGATATCTAGGCACACCCTGTTGACTTGTTTTCGCAATCTTTCTAATACTTGGCGATAGTAGACTAAGCTAAAGTGATGGAAAATAAATCAATAGAGAGGAGAAGAATGGCGGGAGAAAGAAAAGGGAATTTCGCAGGGTCGCCGCGTTACCACAATCGCGGCAATACAATCAGTATCATTACTCAATTTCCACCTCGTATGGTTGTACCTGATTGAATCGATTTAGAATTACGACAAAGTTGCGAAGGAAATACATTTTTTTAAATTCTCAGATTTTTAGGTTTATTTTACAGTGAAATCGGGTTTTGAGAAAGGAGAAAAAAATTTTTTAAAATTTGTTTTTTTTTTTTAATTTTTTGCCAATAAACGCCTTGTTGTTATATAATATAACACAATATGAAGAAAAATTGGCGTTCTTTTGGTAACTTCCGGTCATTAAATATGAATTCGAAAAAGTATTGCAACTATAATTATTGTGACCAATCAATGAGAATGATATTTATGGCAAATCCAAGATACGATGAGTTGTGTTTGTAACTGTATACTAACAAGTATACACGTATGTCCATATATATGTAAGTACATATATGTACAAGTGAATGTTTAACCAATCAAGCTTAGTTGCTTAAATAAGCCAATCTAGCTGATCAATGACTTGACTACGGACCGACACATGAGCCATCCGGGCTATTTTCTAGAGTAATTTAAATATCAAATCGATATGTAAATTCTTGAAATGTAACCAACAAAAATACGCATACATATGTATATACACACACAACAAGCAAAACAAAAAAGTCAATAATAGCAGCACATGGGAATCCGACATATGATTGGTGAGGTATATATGTAGTATGTATGTAAGTATTTGCAACTATCAGGCCACCTAATTTCGCAAGGCTTCGTCATATGTACATAAATACATATAAAGTGTTCCCAGTAGCCCCGAGTGCATTGACACCGGTAATGTCTTTGAATTATTTAAATGTCGGTTAGCAGACGTACATTTGCCTGCATATATATATATATATATGTGTGTGTGTGTTTGTGTTGCAGTTTCATTTTCTACTTGCCATTATGAGCGCACTTTCGCATTTATTTATCTACTTCCAGTGCTAAACTTTTCTTTTTTTGATTTCTTTTTTATTTTTATTTTCTTCTTTTTATTTTACAACTTCTTTTATTTTCATTTTGCAAACTCTGTATTTTGTCCTCAACTACATGCGTTTGCAGAGCTCGATTGACTCACTGACTGATTCATTGATTGGTTGATTGATTGATTGATTGAGTGCCCGTTGTGGTTTTTCACAGCCCCAGTGGTCAGTGATGTTAATCTTTATATGGTTGGTAATGCCGATAAGCGCATTTAAATAATTACAGAAGGCTCTCCCATACATATGTTTAGACAAATACATACTTGTTTGGATTACAATCGTTAACTGGTCGCTAGTATTGAAATAGCGCACGTTTGCGGTTGAAGAAAAATTAGTTGAAAAAACTATTCCACTTAACATGAGAGTAATTTCCAGTTTATTGATGCATTAAAAGGCAAAATCAGAAAGAGGTAGCCAACGATTAAAGAGGTGAGACATTTTTTTGTAAAAAACTTATTTCAATTTGCTTTTTATTTAAATTTAATTTTTAAATATTTTAGTTAACTTTATTTTTTATTTATTTATTTATTTAATTTTAACTTTGTTATTTTTATTTTAATTTTAATTCAAATTATTTTTATTTTATTTAATCTATATATATTTTTATTTAATTTCATTTCATTTTATTTTATATTATTTTATTTTTAATTTTATCTTATTCATTGTATATTATTTTATTATTCTTCATTTCTGAGTTTTTTTATTTTATGTTATTTTATTTTATTTTATTTTATTTTATTTTATTTTATTTTATTTTATTTTATTTTATTTTATTTTATTTTATTTTATTTTATTTTATTTTATTTTATTTTATTTCATTTTATTTTATTTTATTTTATTTTACTTTATTTTATTTTATTTCAAGTTTTTTTGTGAAAAGCGATTTTCAGTGACACCATAGACTCTCTTCTAGGTTTAAATCACTTATTTGTTTTAATGCTTATAAAGAAAAAAGCTTCAGCAGAGGGCCTCAGTGTATAGTCCATGTCACCTGCTCAACACACCAAGATTTAGATTTCATGCGCCACACTTGAATTCGGTTATTCAAAAGTGTCTCACACATTCACAGGAAAAGTTGCAATTCAAATATATGCTATATAAGTATGTATATTTTAATACAGTACGAGTACATGTGTATGTGTGTGTGTATATGACATCTCAATGCCTTGTCAGCAAACAATTCTTAAATTGTACTCTTGACACTTGTTTCACTCATTGCTCGTTTTGGTTTTGCATTGCATTTGCGATTGCTGATGTTTCAAAACACCATTGAGGGGTACTCGTCAACGCTCGAGGAATTGAGCGAAAGTGTAATGTTGAATGGAATACTTGGGATCGATTAAGACTGAAATTGCACAAGTGTGAATGAGGTTATGTTCAAGTGAATGGAAATCGTATGCAGATACCTACACACCTACACATTCCCTACATGTGTGTATATCCCTGTAGGAGTGCATGAGGACATGATGACTCTAAAGTGCAAATGGCATTGAGCCACTTTTGTTATGCGTTTGCACTTATAGTGGAGAAAAAACCGCTAATACAATAGTTGTTGAGCTGGCAAATGGGCACTTCAGCAATATGTTCCCATATATATATACATATATAACTATATAGGTGGTGTCACAGTAGCAAGTAAGAAGGTTTAAGTTCGATTGAAATTGAAAATCGGCGTATTTTTGGACCAGTGTATCGGAAATATCTGTTTGTTTACCGGAATGATTGTTAAGTCTCGATGACGGAGTCTATCTCCCACCACGAATTCGGCATCAAATTTGTTCTCCATTCTATGGTCGTGGGAATAGATTTCACAGTCTCTGTCTTGGTCGTTGCAATTCTTGGCCGGTAGTGATGACAGCCCTTAGCCTTAAGTGGACATCAACCTTAACCTTAAATAATGAACATTTCAATGGCTCGCCATAAAGGTGGAGTCTTTCGTTTTGAGTATTACTCCTATATCCAGGTTGAGATTTTACAATTATTTGCATGCCGCTTGGAGTGGCTCCACCAAATCTCCATCTCTTTGTTAGTCGTGATCTCTGGCACCGCAAGGGTTGGCTACCAGATCGCGTGCAAGGGTTTCTCACGTTTCCAGATTGTGCGATGAGGAGGCGAGAGTAGAAATTGGGTATAGCCTTGCATAACCAGTAGCAGGACTACTTCCGATTGTACCCCAATGAAATCGTTATCTCACCACATATTAAAGTAAATTTTCAAATTTTCATTGAAATTTGAATCGCACAGCTAAGTGTTCCGTTATAAAATTTCAAAAATTATGGGAATGAAAATGTAGGCCTAAAATTTTCATTTTCTTCAAATATTTTTCTACGCTTTTATAAAGAAATAAAATCGTGGAAGAGCTCTCAGCTCACATTAGGAGCCTACGAATCTGCATGCAAGTGACTTAAGCAACTAGACACAAAATTTTTTTTCTCCCCCACAAAATTTTCAAAATGAGTGTTGAAAGTTGGCACAAATTCGCGCCTCATCATGTCGTGAGGACAAGTGGCTCCATGAATCGGCGTGGTATCTATTCACTGGCCGATGAAAAGTTCCTCAAACCAACGCGAAAACCATTCCAAAATCAATTGGAAACTTTCAGCTACAGAACTAACATACATCATGCGAACGTGCAGCGAATCCGCAGGTATGATATGCCGATCGAATTCAAAGCATCACCCGATACCTTACTCACTTTGGCCGCCAGAGTTGTGGATAGATTTCCGTTGCCAAAAGTCTACGAGTGGACTACTTTCGAATGTTGTAAGTGGATGCGTGAATACGGATATCCACAATATCAGGTGGGCAAGAATTTTATATGGAAATCATTCACCACGTATCTCTGTACTTTCAGAACACGCTCCGTGTTAATCTCATCACTGGCCGCAGACTACTGCTACTCGACGCACAATCGCTCTCAGCGATAAACATTAAGGATTTCAATCACATAAAACACATCGCCCACGGCATACGTCAACTCTTCTACTTTGAGATGACGAAGTTTGCACGAAGCATTGCACTGCCTCCCCAATATCACCTGGAGCTCTATAAATTGTTTCGTGTTAAGACTGGACCACGATATGATGCCACACGTCCCACAGATCTTTGGCGTCAATTGCAATTGTTGCGTGAAGTCACTAAGCCGGCGACACATTGGGATTTGCTTGAGCGTTGGCTTATGCTCAGACCCGATAGTGTGGAGGTGATTGGTGGAGCGCCACGTCGAAAACTGTACCGTTGTAAAGTGGCAGAGGAGTCGAACACCGCAGAGCCACCGGAACGTGTTTGTGAATGCCAGCATTATTGTAATTGCAAATTCACGCCAGCTTACTATAAGGAACCTTCGGTGTTGTCAGTGTTGAAACCGTTTCGAACTAAGAAGCTCCACACTCGTGCAGTCGGTTGTAGTGTGACTTGTTTGCCACCCTGCACATGCAATTGGCCTAGCAGATATTACCAGTTCAATGAGGTGCTAAATTACTTGACACAAAATCTCCCAGTTAAATACAGTTTTGAAGCGAGAAGAAGAGCACACACCCTCTCAAGTGTTTACAGGGGAAGCATTGTGAGTTGTGCAAGTTATGGTAAATAATCCTTTGGTTGAGCGATGGAAGTAATAAAATAAATCTGGTATTAAACTATTGTAGAAGTTTCAACGAAACCAGAATTTCTCTTTTCGATAGGTGACTTCTCAGACTGTGTAGGTAGCTGAGAGGTAAAGTCCTCCCTCCGCGAATAAAAACCAAAATCTTTAAATTACTTATCATTCCCATCCTGCTTTATTATGAGGATAATTGATTCGGCGCCAGGAGGGTTCGAAAAATATTTTGTGCAAATTTTATTGGTCATTGTGTATCAGAATGACAAAGCCATATTCACGGATGGCTCTAAACTCGCTGAAAGGGTAGGCTATGGAACTCACTCACAAACACTCTCAGACATTTTTAATATGATGCTATCAGACAACTGCATCATCTTCAAAGTAGAAACCAAGTTAGAAACCAATCAAACTGTATATACTCGAATAGCCAAGCTTTCAGCAGATCCCTGCAATGCAATTACATCACATCAAAATTGGGATTGAAATGCAGCAGAACTTTAAACAAGGACTCAGTTAATTGCAATACAGCCGTATTGGATATAGGAACACTCCAGGCAACTTTATGACGGATGGGCTAGCGAGAGAAGGTCGGTAACTTTCAGTCGGTCGTGGGCGTAACTTTATGAACAGGAAAGCTCAGACTTTCACCAATTCAACCAACAACAGATGACTTAGCGAAGGAACCTACAATGTAACAGCTTTAACCAGTACTGGACGCTAAGAGTTAAAAGGATCTAATTCACCTAGACCGGTTCACCTTTAATTCAACAACGTACCTATTAACTGAGCATTGTTTAATGTACCTTCACAATAGGTAAATGGGATACTTTTCGAATGATTTTTGTCGTAGCTGCAGGGACGAAGAAGAAAAAGAGAGAGAGCACTGTTCAGCCCCAAGCATCATACGACATAAATGCCTCCGACATCACTTCTTTGACTGCCAGACTGGCATAGCAACGGCTGGTATTGGCATTAACGCATCATTCACACACGAAATGGCTGGTGGATCTGAGAAGATGAGGAGCACTCAGGCCTAAGTAAGCTGGTCACTCCGATAAGCAACTGCTTCAACTCAACTTTGTACTAGCGACCGCAAATACAGAAGGCAATGGAACAACGAGCTGTAAGAGATATACGACGGAACTGACATTGTTCAGCGAGTGGAGGAACAGTAACCGTTAGTAGAAGCAGTGAGAAAGGGATACTTTCAGAGATAGATAACGAGGTGGCCTCACTTAGTGTTTCCAGTAGACGAACGAGGAAACGATAGGCGTATAATTTTTGACTCGGCTCCAGTGAGCGGCACTTACGTTAATGAAGAAGAAGTAGAAATGGGCTTTATCGGTGTTTGTTATCTTGTGAGGTCTGAAGGAAAAGGAAAGAGGCTAACATTATATATTTAATATATTTAGCATTCGGCCGACACCCGAGTAGTTAGCAGTGCGTAGTGTGTAGACCGTTGGGGGCCGGCCTAAATTCTTAGAACAAATTGTAGTAACGTACACCACAAACTGGAGGTTTAGCTCGCCCGATAAGGACTTCAGCTGTTACCTAGGACTTGTATATGTATTGATATACTTCAAAGAATCTAAATGCGAGTATCTTAAACACCCTAAAACAGCTTGACTTCCGAAGACTTCGACTTATGAATGGAACAAAGATTCTGAGCCGCAATATTATAGACTTAGACTCAAGAAAAGCGACATTCGCCATTAGGTTCTTCCCTTCACTGTTTGGCGCCAGTTAGCAATACCAAGTGAAACCAGGTCGTTCTTCACCTTACTATTCAAACGGGGTGGAGGTCTTCCCCTTCCTCTGCTTCCACTGGCGAGGACTGCACCTAAAACACCCCAACGGACGATTTTATCTACATATATCTGATACAGCTCATCGTTCCATTGCCTGCAATATTCGACTTTGCCAATTCGAAGAAGTCTGCGAGAATGATGGGCGATCTGTTGAGTTTTATGTTTATTTCTTCATAGAAAGGGATTTAATGTTCAATTATGTACTCAGCTTAAAGTAGCACCCATGGGTTGGAGTGGTTTTGCGTTGGATTATTGTTGTTTCAGGTTATTAGAGATATACCGTCTGCAACTGCTATCAGGCTGCCTTCAAGTTATTAACCAACATTCTGACTATCGCCAAATTAACAACACAAGTAGTAGGTAGACTCAAAGATCTTGTTTATATATAATTGGAGCTTTGTAACCGCTGAAGCCTCCTCCAATTTGTTTTTCCAACGAATGGAGGGACCTACAGTTTGTGCTAAGCCGCCTCCGAACGGCTGATGGTTTTTTTACGAGGAGCATTTATTTCATGTCCGAAACACAATTAGAGGGGTGGACATTCCCTGTCGAAGGGCGACCGTAATTGGAAAATTTAACTTAATTTTTTATTTAAATTAATTTTCTATAAATTTATGGATGTGAATACGATACCAAGATTTGAGTCCGAGCCTTCCAAGTAGCAGTACGCAATGCTAACCACTCGGCTAGCGTGGTCGCCAGACTTGTGACTTTAGTTCACTTAAGTTTTGGTGGGAAACGGGTTTGAATGTGTCTTAATAAATTATTGTATTTCTACCTACGGATACCTGTCGAGGAGTGGGTGAGTGTAGATTGGTTTTTCTATCAAACAACATACCTGATCTGGTGCTCCACAAATACTGAATATTAGACATTCGTATCCAACATCTATTCTGCCTAGTAGATGCGTCTGAACACGCCTTACAGCAAAAACAACACATAATTCACAAAAAATGATTGCCGAAAGCATGGCATTCTTCGAATTGACAGCAAACCAAGAAACTTCAGAAAATTCGGAAAATCTTAAATAAATAAAAATATTTAATATGTACATATGTATGTATATTTTATTATTTATTCAAACTTTCAATTTCATTTTCCCCAACGCGCTTTATTTTTCTATTTCCAACTTATCACTTTATCAAGCCTTTAAAGCGGTCAGACATGCGTGGACTTTTCGCTTACGCTGATGAAAAGTTCGTAAAAGCGAAAAAACGTTTAGCCGGAGAGAAGCAACAACGATTGAGAACGTATAAATTTGAGCGAAATGAATTTTTACGTGGAGAGCGAGTTTACGACCGAAATGCATTGCCGATCATTTTCAAAGCTACACCCGACACGCTGCTCAATTTATGCATAAACGTAGTAGACGCATTACCGCTGCCAACGCCTCATAAGTGGAACACCGTGGATGTATGTAAATGGATACGCGGTTATGGTTATCCGCACTATATGGTAAGAAGACCAGAAGTAGAACTTAATGAGTCCATAGAAATCCCTGCAGCAGTACGCTTTCTGCTTCCAGACTACCTTCCGCAGTAATTTTATCACGGGCCGAAAACTCTTGCTACTCGACGCCTCAGCGCTGAGCGCCATGAATATCAAGAATTTCGCCGATATTAAACACATCGCCTATGGTATTCGTCAGTTGTTTTTGTATGAAATGACAAAGTATATAAGCAGCATATCTTTGCCACCCGAATACTATTACGAACTGTATAAATTATTCCAGACGAAAAGTGGACCAAAATATCAAGATACACGACGTTCTGAACTCTGGCGGCAGATGAATTTGTTACGTGGAAAAAGTGTAAACTACTCCCATTGGGAGCTGCTCGAACGTTGGATGGCCCACAAGAGAGGAGAGACTGATTTATTTGGTGATGCCGGGCGTTATCGCCTGTACAAATGTAAGCCGGTACTGCCAAAGGATCGGGATGCAACTGTTAGACCCACACCTTGTCATTGTATGCCACCGTGCTCTTGTTTCTGGACCGAAAAACATAAGGCACTACCGACCGTATTCTCGTTGCTGAAACAGGAGCGTAAGCCAGACCAAACGGCCTCGAAGGCACACTGCCGATACTGCGTGCCGCCATGTACGTGTCATTGGCCGCCCCATTTCTTTGAATTCGATAGGGTATTAACATGTCTCAAGCCAACGAAATATGGCATGAGGAGAGCATCTCGTTTTGAGGAGGAACGAATCCAATTTCGGCCAATCCTTTTTAACACGGACTAATTTCGATAATAAACTACAAAGAAGTGCTTATATATATAGGTTATTCTTGTATTTTATATGGTAATTTTTTGATAATTAAAGAGCCCTGAGCTTTTGGAGCCGTATGGATACCGACCCGAATGGTTTAGAATTTAATTTATTTTATATTCGAATTTATACTAATTTCTCATTCGCTTTGTAAGTTCCGCTAGATAGCCCTGATCTCGAGTAAATTTTTCTATAAACCGAGTCTAAGTATGTTTCAAACAACTTACAACGACATACATATATTGTATATTTAGCTAATGTTAAAACATATTTATGCACCCTATTCACGTAAATTAGATGACCGTGTCGATATTTTGAAAACCCGTCGTATGAATCTGGTCACGAGGATAGCACGAAATATCTCCGATGATCACGTAATTCTCGACATTCATAGCTTTGAATTGGTAAGCAATCTCGTCTGTCTAAGAGTCGACATTAACAACAATAACAATGCCACACTTAAAATCCAACGAAAGTCAATCCTGTCGACAGGTGTTACTTTAAACTGAATAAACCCTTCAAAATGGTGAGTCTCTACAGTACGTATATGGCAAAACAGAATACGCTGACTCTCACATAAAGTCCCAGGGACATCGAAGTTTCCTTCGGCGGATTAACTTGCTAGGCAAGGTACGACCAAACAAATTCTTCTCGATAAAGAACGTATTGGTATACTCTTAGCCAAAGTATTTCTCCATAAATTTACATATGGACAAGCTGCGTTAAAGTTGCATAAAACTCCAGCCTGTGGGTAATTCAAATCCAACCTAGGGGAAATGGGATAAGAAGAGATCACGAGATTTGTTTGTACTTCTTAAAAAGAGCAGGCATGTCTAAGTAGTAATATTCTAATAGAATGACTAGCGGCTCCCTAAAGAAGATGCTGCATAAACTGCAAGGATGTTGACAAGGACGATACGATCACCCATCTCTTATGCCACTGCTCTACTTTGGGCAGTACTTGGTTTCAAAATTTGGGAATTCTACCGCTGGATGCTCTCTCAAAGAAAGTTGACGTCAAATTCAAGCTTGATGGCCAAGTTTTTGTGGCATCACAATGGATCTCAGTCAGACCTAAGCCTAATCGTGCCAATAGATCGGTAGCCACCACAGCACAACTTAACCCATACGGTGAAAAGCTAAGAAGATAGCAACAACTGATTAGTCGATGTTAGGAGTTTTCAAGCGAAAGATTTTGGGAACGATTTATGGACCTTAACACATTGGCAACAGCGAAAATCGCAGACGATGGAATAAAGAGCTGCAACAGATACACAAAGACGTATAGAACATGTCGTCTCTATGGACGTTTCATATGCAGTACCCGCTGATGGAAGAAGAGTTAGACAAATACTCTCATTACGTTAGAAAGTTCAGGTGGAAAACTACTTGATTTCATTTGGTATTTCTAATTGGCATTGATCTCGGCTATAATCTCCCGAAAGGACTTCTTCGTAACAACGTTTGCAAATGGTGCAAGCTTATTACGAAAAGAATGGTTCGGTTCGGTTCGCGCGACCCATCACATGCTGTGCCTAATCCGCAATGAAACTCACTTTTTTTGGAGTGATGATAATCTACAGGCCACTGTTGATGAATCCAGCTATAATATTACAATAAGTACAGAACGTTATAGAGCATGCCTGGATTCTTGGATGTTATAGTGGATGACCTCTAGCTCCGAAAATACGGCGCTGCATATCAAACAGCCAACGACAGAATCAATTTATTTATGTTAACTTTTGTTAGGCACATTAGCACGCTTTGGCTCGGTCGATTGGCCGTCAAGGTCGTGTAATATCACACAGTTAGACTTCTTCCTGTGGGGATTTGTAAAGTCTAAAGTCTACCCGGACAGTCCCGGTTCGATTTAGGCCTTAGAGCAAAACATCACGAGCGCCATTTGCTAGTTACCAGTCGAACTGTTCGAACGAGTCATCGAAAATTAGACGCAACGGATGGCCCATCCGAGAAGCACCCCAACAGATAATCTCCAAAAAAAAGAGCCAAAAATGTTCTTTCGAATGATAATAAACATTCCACATTAAATTCCAATTTTCTGTGTTTTTTTCTTTACAAAAGTAGAGAACCTCGAAATGGATCACCTTATATATTGAGTAATGAAAACATATTAGTCAGATGTTTCTCAAACAAGTCGATGACTATAAAAGGGATGTCCATTTTTCACGGATTTTTCCGCCGGAAAGTAACGTTTTTCTATTATTCTTCTATTTTTCTGAAGCTCTGCTGGCTCTAAGGTTGAAATATTATTCCATTGGTAGCAACACTTACTGTTGGCCACTGGTCGTATACAAATTACAATCGTGAAATATATATACTCAAGGCGAGCAACCCTTCTCGGGAAGTAAACTTCGAACTTAAAAAATTATATATCTTCCCCGACCTGTCATCTTGATTAAGTGGTAGGGCAAAGGTATCATCACAACTTCACCACTATTTCAGAACTAGTTATTTTTATATCACTTCTGGACTAGTTCTGAAGTGGTTTGGTACCATCATGGGGAAATTATAAACAATTGAACTAAAAGATTACAACAACAAACAGAGTATAATACGTAATTAAATATCGTTTTAATATTAGCATTTATTACCCTTAAATGCTTGGATGCCCCACACAAAAACAAAGGAATATTTACGAGAAATTAGCGAAACCACAAAAACAAAATATTTAATTTTCCCGTTAAACGTTAATGAGCTTACATTTATATTCAAATGCGCGTGAATTTAATAAAATCCAGTTAATTGCCACCGACCGGTGAAATGCGCGCAAAAGTGGCAATAAAAAAAAAAAAACAAAACAAAAAGCTAAAAACCATTAAATCTACTTAGCGCAGACTTTTTTAATTTTCACTTCTTATTCGATGCATTTTCAACTTTGCTTCAAATGTATGTTTGCTTTGAGTTTCCCGCTCGTTTTGTGCGCAACATACTTGTGATTCTTTTGTCTGTGTATAATATATACACATACATACATATGTATATATGTATGTGCATATGTGTGTTATTCTTGCAATTAATGCAGAATTTCACCTAGAACCCTATATACCCATAAAATCAAATAGCTGCAACCAAATACAATGCACTCACATGCACTTGTTCCCACACACGAAAACAATGGAAGGCAAAAACAAACAAAACACAAGAACAACAAATAAATAAAAAAACTAAAAAAAAAACAAGAGCAAAATGCAATTGCTTCGATGACTAGCAGTTAATAGAGGAGAAAAAAGAAAGTTGCACAAAACTATTATAACAACAACAACTACAACAACAACAACAACAACATAAACTGCCATCGCATTAAAGTATTTTGTTGTTGCTACCAGCTGTTGTTGCTTGCAATTAATTTATAAATTATTAATGTTTGCTGAGAGCAGTCAACATTTTGCCGGCTACCACTCCTCGTTAGCCGCAAACTTTTGCAACAAAAACAACAGAAAAAAAAACTTCAACAACAACATTCATGTACACTAATTTGCACGCCGGCAAATGTAAAAAACACGTATACGAACATACACACATACATATATACATACGTATGCCCTCTTGTAGATTTACATGCAGATTTACCTCAGTTACCTACGCCTTTACCTATAAGTATGCCCCAATGCTCTATTAAGTGCACACTCTAAAAACCGACCCATTTCGTTCGCACGCCGGGCATACCTACCTACAAACGCTTTTTCATGCATACATACTCCCATGTACATACATATTTGCATGTGTAATTTTTCAGTTTTCACCAACAGTAGTAATGAGTGTACCTGGTGGGTGGCCCAAAATATGCCAATTAGCCATTTTATTTTATTTTAATAAAAGCATAAAAATTAAAATATTTCATTTATTTTATTTTATTTTATTTTATTTTATTTTATTTTATTTTATTTTATTTTATTTTATTTTATTTTATTTTATTTTATTTTATTTTACTTTGTTTTAATTTATTTAGATTTATTTTATTTTACTTTATTTTATTTTAATTAATATTATTTTAATTCATTTTAGTTTAATCTATTTTATTTTACTTTTTTAATTTTATTATATTTTATTTCGTTTTATTTTGTTGTATATTATTGATTTTTTATTTTATTTTATGTTTCTTAATTTTTATTTTAGTTTTTTTCATTTCATTTTATTTTATTTTTTTTAATTATATAATTTAATTTTATTTTACTTGTTTTAATTTTTGCATTTACTTTAGTTTATATTTAATTCAATATAATTTTAATTATTTTATGGATTGGAATTTAGGAGATTTTTCAGAACTTCCTTTAGCTCATACTATATTTTGTTTACTGACCTAATACTGCACTCTCACACATTGACATTTGAGAAGTGGGGTTGCTGGCTATTTCAGTTGAGCAATTTACATACATATGTACATGTGTACATATAACCTTATTGGCTATTTCGTCAAGTGGGTCATTCAACTTAAACAAACTTGCCAACATTTTTATGCTACAATAATTGCTTAAATTGGCTAGTCGTCGGTGGATACACAATCGCTTTGGGATATTTATTGTTAATATTTATGAAAAATGTTCATTTTCCATATTGGAAAATTTGTATTTTATAAGTACATTCATTTTTTTTTTTGTAGCTTCAAAATTTTCTGATTAGTGTTTGAAACAAAATCATTAAATCATTTTCAATCTATATTTTTAAAATAATATCATCTCGTCTGTAACTAGAAGCTCGAAAGTGTAAATCAGGGGGATTTTAATGTAGTAAAAGATGTTGAAAACCAGTTATTGTAGCCTTCAGAAGCTTCTTTTACTTAAATAGCCTGTTCCTAAAATCTCACTGAATTGTATTGCCGAAGCCTTAATAATTTGCAACAGATAATAAAGCGTGGACTTATCCATTGTAAATAGATAAAACAATTCACTTAACGGAAAACTAACGGTATAAATCATATTAAATAGATAAACACCGCTTTGCCGATTGCTTGGGCATTCAACCGTTACCACACACAACGCGAAAAGTGTTACTTATAGTGTATCTCCTTCTCAAACAATTTATGAGCCATCAATTTAACGGTTTATAGCTGTGCGCTAAATCATAAC